ACATCTCTAGGACATTCTCTCATGATGCAAGGTGACTCCGAAAATATTCCAAGGACCATCAGGTGATGAGAATTCTTCGTTGATTATGTTTCGATATGAAAACCTTCAGTTACGCAACAATTCAAACCAAATTTGTAACTATGCAGTGGGTCACCTAGTATGGTCCTTCACAGCTCAGGATTGTACGTAGTATGGTCATTAGACTGATGCAAAATTCGAAATTTTCACTCCACAGTGCTCAAACGGTTTAACATCAGGTCCTGATTAGCCTCCCAAAATTTAATCATTTTTCTTGTCAACATAATTAATGTTTGCAGCATATCTGAGATATGACACAAATATCAAAAACGGCCAGGTCTTTTTGGGTCTGTGAAATGATTCGAGCTTAAATAAATATATTTAAACAGTGATTCATTTCGTCAATCTACAGGGGTGAAAGGATGCGTGGACATACCGTACCAAACGCTCCGGATTATGTAAGAGTTAATTTAACAATCATATTTGATGTAATGAATGGTTTATATAATATAGTATAGTTAAAGCATCTTACAAAATGCCTAAAATGTACCCTAAATTCCTAATTTATAAATAAAAATGGTCTGCTTGACTGTGATCACCAACTTTTCCGGACTTCTCTATTCCACGAGCCATTCCAGTAGCCCTTTAGCTGCTGTCTGTTGTCCTTCGCCAAACGCTTCGACTTCATCTCACAACTCGCACGGATCTTCGTTCTCTTCTGTTTTCATTTTTTCGCGTTTGCCAATCAGCACTAATTGTAGTTCAACCACCTTTTCTCATTTGAACCAAAAAATCATTTAGCAGCTTGCAAAACGACCCGAAGGATCAAGGAATTTGTGACGGTAATGATGTTTTTCACAGATCACACTTTTCACACTCGTAGACTATCGATATCAATGCCGGTCGAAAACACTTATTTTTTTGCAAAACTTATTGCGAGTGAATCAACATTAAAATTGACCGTGCCGAGCTCTTAACACACGTTACAGCGCGTAAATAAACTGAAATTAAAAATTATCACTCGCGATGCCACAAACTTCTGGTCCGAGAGAAAAAATTAAACAACGCAGAGAGCGTCATCTCTTCTGATGCTTGCAAACTTGATGAATCACGTTTTTTTTCTCAATTCTAAAACTTCCCGTAAAGCGAGACAACCACCAATCACACACGTATAACCATCCGGGAGACAGAGTGCCAGCGCTAATCTCACTAAAAACTAAGAAAGCGAACGCACGCTCAAAACAGAGAGCAAACTTAAGACACAACCGTATCCAAAGGGGTTCGAAACTGCACTCCCGTCTATACCAAGCACAAATTGACGCAAAATGGTTAAAATGCATCAATAGTTGTTGCACTTACACTATGCTTCTTGTTTTTACTTACTCAAATCCAATAATACAGAAAACAAATTATAGCTCCGGATAATCAAGCCATTTTTTTCCGGATAATGAAGTGCCGGATAATCGAACCCTTGGCTAATCGAACCCCTGGATAATCGAGTCCGACTTGTATAGCATTTCCTCCCAACTCTGAGTTTTTGTCTTAAACTGATGACCGCCATCTTGGATTCCACATTGGCCAATATTGGTGCACTTCCCCTAGTACGGTATTTAAAGTTTTTTTTTCAAAACCCGCTGTCCGCCATCTTGGATTCCAAAAAGGGCACCGGACGTTGAATTCGGGCATCCACACACCGTCCTCGTTCCAAAAATACTCGTATGTTTGATTATTTGACAGTTTTCTAAAGTCGAACCCCAAAGGCTTGGTAGCCATCATAATAAAGTAATGAAATTGGGTTGTTAGCGGAATGCAGCAGTTGAACATCAAAAAAGGTTATCTTCCATTTACTTCAACTTAATTAATTTTGGTATCCATGACAGATACGTATTTCAACTGAGTACTTAAGTGTTTGATAAGTTCTTTAGTGGGAATGACACTGATGAAGACTGCACATTGTAGTCGAAATACGAATCTGTCATGGATACCAAAATTTATTAATTGGAAGTAAATGGAAGATATCCTTTTTTGCTGTTTTATTTATGATACATTTGTAAGGCTAGAATATGTTTTCAAAATTAATAAATGCACATTCCCGCTTTTCTTTTTTGAGAAATACCCATTTTTCGACCTCATTTTAAGCACCTTTAAGAGTTAGCGGGTATGGAAGGTTCATATATCCTGCTGTTTAAGCTATAGAAAAAAATCATTTATATCGGACAGACGCAAATCTAGCTGTTATGTTAAATCTTCACTAGCCGGATAACGTCCGTGCGGATCACTCGCGAACTAGTTAGCGTGCGTTCGGATTAATGCTAAAAGAACGTTTAGTGACACTTAACTCTATTGTGAAAGTGAAAAAGGAAACACTAAACCGAATCAAAGCGTATGGACTGTATGTTATTTTTAACCGGCGACCGACACAACCAAGATGCGGGAGACAACTGAACTTTAGATCTGATCTGCTGTACATGCGACAGTACTCTCATAACGAAGATCCACCACTACTATCCCTATCAATAGCTGTTATCAATATTATACACCTATTCGAGAGTGGTATATAGGTACACATGTACCACAACATGCGACAAGGAGAAGAGAGATCAAACTTATACTCTCCAGTTTTATATGAACTGATCGTACAGTGAGTTCTATACTCGTCTATACTTATTTATACGTAACATACTGGCGGCCTTGAGTTTACTCAACACAAACTTGATACTATTTTTAGAACAATAAAAATAATGGAGACCACAAAGACAATGATAATAGTTTGTTTTGATCGGTTGTTCGTCACAAACGGCTAGATGACCTGTTGCCTTTCTACCGGGCTCGTTTCTACTTCGTTACCTTCTGCTTATTTATTTGTTATTCTAACTGGTGTATTAATCTGACGGTCCCTCTTGGATTCTCCCTGGTGACGATGTCCACATTACCTAACACGATGAATCCGTGCACTGATATCATGAGTTAAGTAGTGTTGGAGTCCGACACTGGAGACTGCAACGTAGGTCCTCGATGTTCCGATTCCTGTCGAAGAGAAACATGGCTGTAATCCAATACATGGGCTTACAGAGGAGACACGTAACTCATGGTTCGGCCCCCTGGCGTTAAAACGGATGGAATATCCATTAGTTGCCAAAGTTTGCCCGTTGGGGGCATAAAATACTCATCTGCTGGGCAGCCACTTGCTGCTGATGACACGATGCGATGAACGGTAGAAGCGGTATCGAGCTGAACCTCAGCTGAGATGACATCTGTTGATTGATGAATCTCCTTCTTCTCCTTGGGCTAGGGAGTACGAATGGCTAGCGATTGTTGGGTATCCACATCTCTGACGACGGAAAAACAAAGCAGTAGGTTCAAACGGAAAACACAGGTGGGTTGAACGTAACTTGAGTATTGCCCCCAGGCATCCACGGCAATTGTGCCGTCAGTTGCCTAAAGTGCCCCAACGGGGGCGTAAATACTTATTTCTACTTCACGGGTAACGATTAACTGCTGCTAGATTACTTATTGAGCTTCTTCAACCTGCGGCTGATTGTCCCGAATGGGGAGGATGCAGATCTTCTGGATTCCTCGACGGAACGTTCCGTACTGCGTGCGAATGGTGACAACCCTAACGTTGCCATCCGTCCCGGGATGAATCTCCGTGATCCGTCCTAACTGCCACTTCAGCGGAGGAAGATTGTCTTCCTTCAGTAGTACCATTGTTCCGATATGGAGATTATTCCTTCTTCGCGTCCACTTATTTCGGTTGTGAAGATCTGACAAATAATCAGTCGACCAACGCTTCCAGATCGCTTGGCTGAACTGCTGCATTCGTTGCCATCTGCTCAATCTGTTCTCTGGAATTTCCGCGAGACTAGGCTCCGGAATTGCTGTAAGTGGACGTTGAACTAAAAAGTGCCCAGGAGTTAACGCTTCTAGATCTCGATGGTCGTTGCTTAACGGGCTGATCGGCCTGGAGTTAAGGCAGGCTTCGATCTGTGTGACAATAGTCAGCATCTCATCTGGACGGAGCACATTCGTTCCAATTACTCGTCTCATGTGTCCCTTGAGAGACTTCACGGCCGCTTCCCATAATCCACCAAAGTTCGGTGATTTGGCAGGAATAAACTTGAATTCTATCGCTTCCTTGGCTGCTTCTGTCACTATTGCGTTCCTGAATTGCTCAGCTTGGAAGAGTTGATGCAGCTCGCTTAGTTCTCGTCGAGCTCCAACAAAATTCGTAGCGTTGTCACAGAAGATCACTTCGGGCTTCCCTCGTCTTGCAACGAATCTCTTCAGGGCAGCTATGAAAGCTTCAGTCGTAAGATCTGCTACCATCTCTATGTGGACGGCTTTAACCACTAAGCAGACGAACACGCATAAATAACACTTCACCGGAGCTCCTTTACGTGAAGGGTAACAAACGTCGAACGGACCGCAATAATCGATGCCAACGCGTGAAAATGCAGGAGCCGGTGAAACTCGCTCCATAGGCAAATCTCCCATCAACTGTTCATGAACTCGTGGCCGTGCCTTGAAGCAGGTTACGCATTCGTGGATCACTCTCCTTGCCAGGTTTCTCCCATATAGCGGCCAGAACCTTTCCTTCATGCATGAGAGCATCAGTTGCGGTCCTCCGTGGAGAAGTCTGTGATGATAATCAACCATAATAAGTTTTGTTAATGGATGCCTGCTGTCTAGCACCATCGGATGTTTTCTTCCAAACGACACTGGAGCATGGCGAAGTCTACCGCCAACATGAATCAATCCATGTCTCAATTCAGGATCCTTCGTGTGCAATCTGGACCCTGGCTTGACTTCACCCTTTGCTGCTAGATCCGAAAGTTCAATTGGAAAACATTCAGATTGTGCCAGTTTCACTAAAGCGATCAATGCTCCTTCGTGTTCCTTAGCGCTGAGTACTCCTGTTCTTCTAAAGGTTCGGTTTCTTGGTTTGCAGTTGTATGCAAAGCGTAGCATCCATGCCGTCAAACGAATCAGCTTAAGTAGCGACGAGTGCATGGTAAATATTTCACTAGGAGGTAGCATCTGCAACGCAGCCGTAACTAACGGCTTTTCCTCCAACGTTGCAGAATCGAAGTGCTGATCGGAAGCTTCGTTGACCCGTGGCCACGCATTCGACTCCTCTTGCAGCCACTTGGGACCATTCCACCATATCGAGCTTTCTGCAAGTTGTAACGGTGTTACACCTCGAGAGATAATGTCAGCCGGGTTTTCAACGCCAGGCACATGGTTCCAAACGCCTTCTCGAGTGATGTGCTGAATTTCCGACACTCTGTTGGCTACAAATGCTTGCCACCTAGATGGATGCGACGATAGCCAACATTTTACGATGGTCGAATCAGTCCAGAAGTAACTGTTCGCTGCAATCCGAAGGCTCCCAGAAACTGTTTCGTACAAGTGCGCCAATAGTAAAGCTGATGATAATTCTAGTCTGGGTATCGATTGTTTCTTGTTCCTCCTGCTTAAATCTTCCAATGGCGCCACTTTAGATTTGGCCATCACCAACCGAACTGTAACCTTTCCCTCTTGTGTGACACATCGTAGGTAGATCGCTGCACCGTACGCCTTTTCTGAAGCGTCACAGAATCCGTGAAGTTCGCATGATATCACATTTTTGTCAAATGCAATCCAGCGGGGTACGGAAACTGAATCAAGTCGACCCAGATTGCTCCTAAACTCCAGCCATCGTGATTGTAAGTCCGCGCTCAGCGGTTCATCCCAAGAATACTTTTCTCTCCAAAGTTCCTGGAGGAACATTTTCGCTTGAACGATGACTGGGCCTGCTAGTCCATAAGGATCGAACAAAATTCTTGCAGAACGTGCAGACTCCGATAACACAACACGCTGCGTAATTGGGAATGATGGCTTCCAGTGTGGCATTTTGAACCAAAACAAATCTGATGCTGGTTCCCAGGTCAGACCAAGGGTTTTCACAGTGGAAGTCGAATCAATATCAAGGATCTCTCGCTTGTCTCGCAAATAGCTGGGAATGCCTTTCAGTATTGCCGGTTGGTTCGAATGCAACTTTCGGAGATTAAACCCAGCGGAATCGAGAAGAGATAGAATGTCAGTGCACAGTTGTTGGCCTTCTTTTACAGAGTGTGCTCCAGTCAGCATGTCGTCAACGTAGAAGTTGTTCTTGATGGCATTAGCTGCAACTGGATGAGTCTCTTCTCCTTCTTCAGCACATTTCTTCAAGCATCTGGTCGCTAGGTATGGCGCGGACGAAGTGCCGTAGGTTACCGTAGTCAATTGGTACGTGCGCAGCGGCTCATCAACGGACTCTCGCCAAAGAATCCTCAGAAGTGATTGATCTTGTAGGATGACGTTGATCATGCGGTACATTTTTTCCACATCGCCGACAATCGCGTACTTGTGAAGTCGGAAGTAGATCAGAATACATAGCAAATCCCTTTGTACCACTGGACCCACCATCAGCGCATCGTTCAACGAAACTCCTGAATCTGTTGCACACGACGCGTCGAACACTACCCTAAGCTTCGTCGTAGTGCTATCGGGTTTCATAACTGCGTGGTGGGGCATGTAATAGGTATGCCTCGGCTCATCTTCGTCGTCTGTTAGCTCTTTCATGTGCCCCATCAACAAATACTCGTGAATAAATGCAGTGTACAGAGCCTTCATCTCCGGATTTGCATTCAAGCGTTTCTCGAGCGCCATGAATCGCTTGGTGGCTATTGCTTTTGATTCTCCCAACTGCTCCATGACATATTCTTTTTTGGGAAGTGTTACACGGAATCTTCCGTCATGATCCCTTGTTGTTGTTTGTTCGAAGATGGATTCACACGTGGATTCTTCGATGGATAGGCAGCTCTTAGTCCGGCACGTCTCTAGTTCCCAAAAACGTGCAAGCTGCTCATGGATCTCTTCAGTGGTTCCCGACGTTGCAACTGTAACGCTGAAGGTGGAAACGGGATTCTCGGATATTTCTCCAGCCATTATCCAACCAAGTTTGGTATTGCATAAGATCGGACCAGTTTCCCAAAGTCTCATCTGCTCTCCCAGCAGTAGTTCGTAGAAGACTGACACGCCTAGGATTGCATCAACGGCGCTAGATTCGAAGAAGCTTGGATCGGCGAGTCGGATATCAGCAGGCAACTTCCAAGAGCTGATGTCAATGTTGTGCTGCGGCAGGTTCAAGGTGATTCGAGGCAGGACATAAAACTTTACTTCTGTGGTCTCGAATGATGAATAGCGGGACAGGATCTTCGCCAACACCGATTGTTTGCACACCGTCGACGAATCACCAACACCGTTCACTGGCAAATTTTCACGGAACCGTTTGAAATTCAACCTTTGGGAAATATTTTCCGTAATCATGCAGATTTGTGAACCATTGTCCAACAATGCACGAACGAGGGTCGTATTTCCGGAGCGGTCAGCAAGTTTCACGATCGCGGTTGACAGGAGTGCTGTGTTTCGCTGACTTTGAATGTTGTGTGAAGTAGCAGTGTGATGACTGGTGGATGGCGTGTTTGTGGGAGGTGGCTGTCGTGTAAATTGCGAGGTAGTGGGTAGGACTGGTGGTGTTTGTGGATTAGATTGAGTATTATTCGTCCGGGATTGGCAATGAGATTGCGAGTGCGATTGCTGTTGCACCTGATACGGTGGACGAGGCTGTGTTTGAGGGTTCGCGTTCACGACTTGAGGCCTGTTCGGGTTGTTCTGGGGTTGACTCTGGGTGTTAGAATTGGGAGGAGTGTACGGGTGTAGTAGATAATGGTGGCTTTGTCCACACTTTGCACAGGTACGTCTGGAACAATCCGCCACAAAGTGTCCAGAGCACAGACAATTCAAACATAAACCGAGTCTGCGAATGATCATTTTTCTGTCGACTACCCTCATTTTGCTGAACCGGCGACACTGATCAATGCAGTGCTGTCCCCCGTTGCAGATTTGGCAATTGCTTGTAGATGGTATAGCAGTGTGGAGTGCAGAGCTCTTGAATGGTCGTCTTTGCTCAACTCCGCATCGGCCTGACGTAGAATGTAGAATTGCACAGTGCTGCTCAAGAAACTCCGCCATTGCTGCATATTGAGGAATATCTTTGGATGCATGGTGTGTCTCCCAGTGGCGGAGAGTTGCGGTATCAAGCTTCTGCGACAGCATGAATGCCAGGATCGTACTCCAATTTTCAGTGATCTCCCCCAACTTCGCCAACTGTTGTAGATTGACCTTGAACGTCATTAGGATGGTGTTCAGAGTTTCAAATGATTCCGACCTCATTGCTGGAACAGCAAACAGTGCCTTCAGATGTTCCTGGGCTATCAGCTTGTGGTTCTCGTACTTCGTCTCAAGAATGGTCCAAGCAATATGGTAGGTTGCAGCGGTAACTTGAACCTGATTAATTTGAAGCAGAGCATCATCTCGCAAAGAAGCTCCCAAGTAGTTAAACTTGTCCATAGTGCTCAAATCACCATTGTTGTGGATCAAAGATTTGAAATTGTCCCGGAAATTAATCCACTCCTGCAGTTTGCCAGAAAACGTAGGCAATTTCAGCTCTGGGTATTTCATACGAGATGTTTGAAGTGGATTGGCAGCCACTTGTTGGCGTTCTGCAACAATTCCAGGATTTCTCGGAAGCTTGACACGCAGTGCAGATTTCAGACGAAAGTAAATATTCTCGAAATCCTTGTAGACACGACTACTGTCAGCACGAGCATCAGCGTTAGTTGTACCGGCAACGTCATCGCGAGCGCCCTTGGAAGTCTTCGTATCTTCAGCCTCATCTAGAATCACGTCGATTTCTACTCTAACGGTACTAAACTTGTCGAAGATTTCATCCAGTTTCATCAGACGCAGCTCAACTTCATCCTTATCGCGATCCTCTTGATAGTTGTCCACAAACTCTTGCACGTTTTCCAACGACGCCTTCAACAGCTTTTCCTGCTTCACCAACTGCCTCAGATCGGAGGAGGGCATCCTTCAAACTTCAACACTACACTTCACTACAGAACAGAATCACTCCCGAGACCTCAAGCAGAACGAATTGACAGAGTTGACAGCCCAATTATCAACCACTTAAATGTGGGAATTTTTCATATGGCAAATCGCAACGGAACCATGTACTAAATCATCAACCGGAGAAACTCAAAATATATTCCCCACAAATGCAAATAAATTTTGTCCAAACTCGCAATATAATACGGCAAGCGGAACAATGCGCCTTTATCTTGCTGGCGTCACATGCAGACCACGCCAAGCCAAGCCACCTCAACCACACGATCACACACACTCTAGCTACTTATCTGATTCTTAGATGATAACCCTCCGGGGTTGGATATGACGACGAAAACACAACATCCAGGAATCCAACCAACTTGGTTAAACGTATGCTGCGTATTAATCACACAGGTCACTATATTCCTTCTGGTTGGCAGCAAAAAACCATCGACTACGCGACCGGTACCGGTACCGGTACCAAAATTAAAGCTCGCTGATCCTATATCGAGTACACTGACCGACGAACAATAGTCTGACCGTACAATGTATTCACGCCACGCCGCACTATTCTAAGAACGTGGTCCCGCGGATTCACCGGATCCGGTTCGAAGGACCAAAATGTTATGTTAAATCTTCACTAGCCGGATAACGTCCGTGCGGATCACTCGCGAACTAGTTAGCGTGCGTTCGGATTAATGCTAAAAGAACGTTTAGTGACACTTAACTCTATTGTGAAAGTGAAAAAGGAAACACTAAACCGAATCAAAGCGTATGGACTGTATGTTATTTTTAACCGGCGACCGACACAACCAAGATGCGGGAGACAACTGAACTTTAGATCTGATCTGCTGTACATGCGACAGTACTCTCATAACGAAGATCCACCACTACTATCCCTATCAATAGCTGTTATCAATATTATACACCTATTCGAGAGTGGTATATAGGTACACATGTACCACAACATGCGACAAGGAGAAGAGAGATCAAACTTATACTCTCCAGTTTTATATGAACTGATCGTACAGTGAGTTCTATACTCGTCTATACTTATTTATACGTAACACTAGCCATTTACCCATTTCGCGTGGAACTGCTAGAGACAGCGTCTCTAATGCTTCCAGAGCGGTGACTGTCCAGCTAGCTTGTCATTCACCCGTGGTAAGTGGCACAGTCGCCGGGAGGGTCATGGAACCGACAAGGTGAGCGCTACCACCTAGTTCGGGTGACAGATGGTCGAATACTGGAGATGTCTACGTACCCGTGAAGTTCGAGGTAGATGGCAAGCTAACTAGACTCGGGAGCTTTGATTGACGGATGGGGACGGCTCGCTACGACGATGATGACGATGCATGGTGGTTGCTGTCTAACGGTGGGTGAATAGCCCTCTGTGGTCGAGGGAGATGAGTACTTCAATTACAATTCCATATTGCTGCAGCCAGAGGGATGCGGTGCAATATTATGGAGAAGTATGCAATTGGCAAACGTGACATTCGTTAAGTCTGTGGCTACAAATTAAATAACATTTCAAAAAAGTCTCCGGAGTTGACAAGGAAATAAGCTTTGCCAATTATTTGAAATCCTCTCAAAACAAAATAACACTTTTTAGCATTAGATTTATCAACAATACAATTTAGTAACCAAAAAAGCTCTTTCAACTAAACCATTTCACCGCAGCAGCGCACCACATGACCCATCTAAAAAAAACCAGCTGTGGACACGGGTGAGCCAGCAGCAGCAGCCCGGGAGATTAATTTGTCATAATACGATATGAATACTAATGCCACCCTGCGACCAAATGTGGGGGGATCTGGGACGGTCGCATAGTGACAAAACTACACACAGCCACATGCATCGAGACGAGGAGGATATACGATGACGGGTGGATGCTCTCGCTTGAGCAGGATTTATGCTGGAATGACCGGTTCCATCCGACAGATTTCAACTTCCGGCAAGCGTGGGTGGTGGATTAAAGTACGTAATCGCGTCACAGCTGCACTACACCTCCGCAGGTACATTGTGTCAAAAAGTTACAATTTACCAAACGGCTTCGGATTGCAGTGATTGCTAACTGTATAGTGCGGCGGGCCTATTCACCGAATTGGGGGCACAGCCAGTCAGTAGTCGGTTGATGCTTTCAATTTCAGTCAATCGATCATCCGGTGCCGATTGGTTGACTTTTTGCTGTTGTGGGTGCATTGCATAATTCAATTCGTTACCGGCTTTATCCTATGGCCGGAAAATCGATTCCTATCGAGGACGACGGTTGCCGTTGGGCGACGAACGTTTGCAAATAAATTAGCTCGGCTGATTGGACGTTTCTCAGCATTGTTAAGCGAACATTGAATTTCGTTGTTTTGTAACGCATCAAATTGTACTGGTGCTGTGTACTTATAATTCCCTTAAGCAAATGGGATTAGAAAGAAGTGAGAAGTTGCCCAAACGATCTGCTATAATTACTTTTCCCATTGTCTCCCCGGAGAATAACGAAAACAAGTTTATTTCAGTTCAACATCATGGCTTCAGTATGTCTACGTAGGTCTTATGCATGTACGCTTTAGCTCTTGCACTTTCGTAAACAACGACGCTCTTCTCCAGCATTACCATCATCTCCGACATCGTCAGAAAGCTTAGCCATAACTACAGAGGCAAGCGCTTATGGAGATTTTGTTTTGTCGGTTGAAGTTAAGGAGGGCAAAAGAGTAGGTATCGTTTTGATGCTAGTAATTAGTTTTGATTACAAAGTTAGCACTTTTTATAAGAACCGGTAGGTAGTTAAGGCGGTAACAATGCAGATTAGAAAGAGTTGTTTTGATAACAGTTGCCAAATCTTTGCTCGGCATTCTTTTCGATAATTCGTCCAACCGGACAATTATGTAACTCTTATGTAAGTCCTATTTTCGAATTAAGTTTGTTTCCCCAAATGCACTGCGGCTAGAAAATAATTTAGTGAAGGATTTGTACGAAAATTTTCATTCTATCCATTGTTAGAACTGCCATTACATTTTCTGTAAGAAAAAAATCCAGAGGATGTAGGAAATCCACTCTAAAATTTGTACATTTGTTGTTCTCATCCTGCCCCCTAAATTAGCAACAAAATATTCTAGTTCCAAGTTCAAATTACCTTGTTTTTTTATTTTAGATGTCTAAACTTTGAAACAATCTTTGCAAATACAAAAGATTACTCCACAGAAATTCTGAGTAGATTTTTTCAAAGAATCCCGAGGATGTTTGGCAAAAAAAAAATTAGAATGATTCCAGAGGAATTGAATAACAGTTAATGTTATAAAGGAATTCTGATTAGCAATTTGAGTAGCTCCTAGGCCAAATTAAAAAAAAAACGGACCAACCGGAATCCTTTAACTGAAACGAGACAGGAGCAAAACATAAACTCTGTTTAAAAATACTCTGTATAATATGTTTTAAAGGAGTTCCCATCTGGAAATTCCACCCCTACCTTTTTGAGAATCTCCCTTCTGGTTTTTGAGACGAACTAGGGCTGAAACTCTCTAATAAAGAAACAAACAAAAAACAAAAACAGCAAAGTTTTTTGAGAAATGTAAAGAATATCTGGGAAAAATACACGTTTTTTTTGTAATTTTGACAAAAAATAATAAAAAAGTGATAAAAAATTCAAATACAGTAAACTCTTCATAACTCTAAATGAATTATTGAATAATCGAATCATTAAACAAATTTTACTTGGTAGCCTATAATTTTTAGAATAATATCGAAAAAGGTAACATGTGCCTAAGCTCAGTCTAATATGAAGCCTTCAAATCCATTCTATGTCATATCTTATTTAATAAATAACCTGCATACGATACTTTACTGGCAAAACGCAAGTTTAGATCTTCTTAATATTTGGATATTGAAATATTTGTATCGTAAATCATATCTTCAAGCTCCTTCTCCCTCTCCCCCCCATCCATAAAACTGTCAAGTGGTGTAGAGTACTTGGCACTGATGAAGTCAGTAGCAGACGAAATACGCGTATCTGTCAAAAGATAAGCAATTATAACGGAATTTGAAGGAAATAAACCAACACACTTAAAGCTCTTGATAAAGGGATTCCGTTAAGAGGTTCGACAAATTGATTGATTTTTTTTTTATGAATTGACAAATTATTTATCTTGACAAAGTAATCTATAACGGATCATTTTGTATGGATAATGACTTTTTAATAATTATTGTAGCACTGCAAACATTATTTCTGTTCGCCACGATGGTGATGATGGATTTTTAATATTTGATTCAATAGTGGTAGATCAATAAAAAGAAAGTAGTCTACAAAGGTTTGAGCTTCGCTTGCGTATTACGGATATACAGGACTGAATTTAACATATGATAAAAAAAAAATGCAATTTTGAAGATTATTTGGATGATACCTTGAGTTAGTAGTAAGATTTCTGGCAAATGATGGGGGTCCATGAGCATTTCATATTGCTGAAAATTATGATAGCATCAGATTGCGGGGTTGCTAGTGTAATATGATGATTGTTCATTAACTCTTGATTGCCTGTAATACTTATGAATATTTTGGGTGAACAAAAAGGCGATCTAAGAGGTAGACGCCTGAGCTTTTCCACATTTATATCGCTGTGAAGCAACTGTAAACTCTAGAGGGAATTTATATCTGTAACTGAAACCAGTTCGATTTTGTTTGCTTACCTGGTTAAAATGTCACATTTAATTATCTTAAAGATAAATCGTCCAGCTAAAACCTTTGAAGGGGTAAGAGGTTTAAGCATCATTAGCATCATCAAAAGATTATTAATCTCTACTAACCTCGAGATGACCGAGAGTAATTGGTTCGATTCCTTTAACTCTATATTTGAAACATTAATTATGTAAAACGGAAATGATAATTTGGCTCTGTAAAGTTTATTCGATTGAGCCTGTACAAATAAATTAACACACAAAAAAAGTCTCAGGACCAGACATATACCGAACTGTCAATAGTTTAAACGTCGATTTCT